AAGTTTTACCCTTATAAATAGGGGGAGTCAAAAAAGTTTTAACACAGAGAAAGGGGGGTCATAAAAGTTTTTGAACTTAAATACCATGTCTAGAGTTCTGATTTCTATAATCACAAATAGCAAAAAAGAAGACTCTGAAAATGCTATTTCCAACGATCTAGAGACTCAAAATATTCAAAATTTCCCTGCTCGGCGCCAACCATGGTAGCGCTTCGCGATCGTGGGAGTCGGGCCCACTAAGTTTAACAAGCTTTCTACCCCCTGAGTGACCCAGTTGTGGTATTTACATAAACATACCATGCAAGTACACATAACTGATCAGATTCGGTCTATCAACGCACAATGTAACGCTGTATATCCAAAAATCTGTTTCAGAAATGCTCACGTTTCAGTTCTGGGGGTGGGAAAATACAAAAAATTTTCTGGGGGAGAATACCCCCAGACCCCCCTACTAGTACATACGATACCACACCAAACGTTTTGTCACCAACAACCATCTGTCATTTCTCCACACTCAATATAGTATGGTCCCTTTTTGTAGATGCCCACCCCCGGACATGGGCGTACCCGAAGGAAAAAAATTAGGGGGGCGGAAAGAAATTTGCCCGATTTTTTCGGATTGTGCAGAAAAACTTTTTGCCAGAACAAATTAATTTTGGCGACCCCCCGTCGCCAAAAAAGTTTCGGTCAGTGTACCATTTTAAGGGTCCAAAAATTTTTCGGAAATACCAAAATTTTTCGGAACATCATACAAATTTTCCAGACATCACAAAATTGACCACAAAATTGACAAAATTTGTCCCATTTTTTTTATAATAAGCCAATATTGCCCGACTGTGGAGCGAATATTGCTCGACTTGTTTTGTTTGCCCAACAAACTGGGGGGTGCCGCGCCCCCCTCCCCCCCCCCCGCCCGGTACGCCCATGCCCCCAGACAAGTTCTTAAAACCCTGTGTTCAAATCATTTTGCTGTATGAAGACGGGTCATGGGTTAGGGTTATAGTAGGACAAATGTTGCATTGCAAAGTAGTAACACATAATATATATTTTTTAATCATATATGGTTGGATCATATTCACCAGGGTAAAACATCATGAGCTAGATTAAACAATATCTAACTTTACTTGCAACGCACACCTGTTTCATTGCTGTTAATTTTTCAATCAGTTCTGGAGGGGGGTCAAAAAAGTTTTCAATCCTTATTTTCCCCATTTCCCAACTCCCCCCCCCCCC